GCCTCCTTGGTTAATTTGATTCCCTGGCATTTTATTGCTTTTGATGCAATTGTAAGTGGGATTGTTTTCTTAATTAATTTTTCTTTCTGGAAGTTCATCATTGGTGTATAAAAATGCCACTGACTTCTGAATATTTATTTTGTAACCTGCTACTTTACTGAATTCATTGATCAGTTCTAACAGTATTTTTGGTGGAATCTTTAGGGTTCTCTATCTATAGTATCATGCCATAGGCAAATAACGAGAATTTTACTTCTTCCTTTCCAATTTGGATGCCTTTTATTTCTCTTTCTTGTCTTATTGCTTTGGCCAAGACTTCCAACACAATGTTGAAGAGCAGTGGTGAAAGTGAGCATCATTGTCTTGTTTCTGATCTTAAGAAAAACGTTTTTAGCCTTTCTCCACTGAGTATGTTAACTAGGTTTTATGGCCTTTATTATGTTGAGGTACGTTCCCTCTATTCCCACTTTGCTGAGAGTTTTTATCATAAATGGATGCTGGATTTTGTCAAATGCTTTTTCTGCATCTATTGATATGATCATGTGGTTTTTATCTTTCTATTTGTTAATGTAGTGTATCACATTAATTGATTTGCAGATATTGTACCAATCTTGCATCCCAGGAATAAATACAACTTGATCATGGTGTATGATATTTTTAATGTATTGCTGAATTTGGTTTGCTAATATTTTGTTGAGAAATTTTTGCATCAATGTTCATAAGAGATATTGGCCTGTAGTTTTCTTTTTTTGTAATGTCTTTGTCTGGTTTTGCAATCAAGGTAATGGTGGCCTCATTTTTACTTTTCTTAACATGGTTACTAAAAAATTTTAAAGGACATATATGGCCCTCATTTGTGGCTCACATTACATTTTTATTGTTCAACACTGTATTAGAAATCGAGAAACACAGAGATCAAAGGACTTGTCAAAAGTTATAGATCAATAATGATGCCAAAAATTTTGAAGTTACTCAGGGCTCACACTTCGTCTCTTTCCACACTCATTCTGGGTGATCTCATCCTGTCTAATAACTTAAATGCTATTTATGTGCTGATGACTCCAAACTTTTTATCTCCAGCTCAGACTTCGCCCTTGAACTCATATGTCCACCTGCCTACTCAATATTTCTACTTGGATGTCTAACAGACATCTCAAATGTAATACGTCTCAAAGTGAACCCCTGCTCTTCCACAGCACAGATCCCATTCTCCATCCCAACCTGCTGCTCGTATAGTTTCCCCACCTAGTAAGTCTCAAAACCTCAAAGTTAACTTTGACTACTATTTTTTCCTGACACGCATCCAATATATCAGCAAGTTCTGTCAGTTCTACCTTTGAAATACATCCAGTATCAATTACTCTCAATGTCCTACCACCTGATCCAAGACACCATTGTCTTTCACCTTGGTTAACTCAATCCCATAATTGGCCTTCATGCTTTCATCCTTCTGCCTTCCAGTTTATTTGCAGTAGAGCGGCCAAAGTTATCATGTTAAAACATGTAGATTATGTTATTCCTCCTCTTAAAATTCATATCACTCAAAAGAGAAGCTGAATTCATTATCATGTTCTCCAAGGCTCTCTATGGTCTGGCCTCTACTACAGTTTGGGCTAATCATGTAATCTCTCTCCTTGGCCTACTCCATCATTCCTACTTGCCACCTTGCTTTTCCTCAGACATGCCAAACAAACTCCCATCTGGGGGCCTTTGGCCCTGCTATACCTGCTGTTCCCTCTACTTCAGCAGTCATTCTCCAGAGACCCCATATCTCATTCCTTCATTTTCTTTAGGTCTTTAATTAAATATCAACTTTGGGGATGGCAAGCATCCCCATGCCATCACCCTTTATGCCCCTACCCTGCATTATTTTTCTTAATAAAACTTTACTATCTGATATACTAAATGTGTTCTTGCTTATCTGTTTATTAGCTAGTTCTCCTCAATAAAAATGTATCCATAAGGACTGAGTTTTTCATCTGCTTTGTTTATTACTATATCTTTGACATCTAGAACAGTGCCTGACACATAGTAGCCATTCAATAAGTATTGATCAATAACTATATAAACTAATTGACTCAGAAAGGATTAGTAATGTTAGGCTGAATAATTAAGAATAAGCTAAATAACTGTGTATTTGATATTATTTTTTCAGAACTGTATTATTTAGTTCTAAGAGATCATTAAATGCATCTTTCAAGACTTATCAACCATGTTAGCCAATTTTCAGATGAGAATCTTATCTTTCAAAGAGCAAGTGGTTTCAAATCCTCCTTGCCCTTTTGCTATTCAAAATCAGTTGTTTTTTGGGGTTTTTTTTGTTTGTTTTTTTCATGGATAATTGTTCAAATCTAGCGTTTAGAACTGGCAGAAGAAAAAAATACAGATAATTGTTGTTACGATAAATGAAAAAGCAGCAAAAATTACTGATATTTTCAGTTCATTTAACCCCTAATCAACTGTCAAGCAAACATCCTTCCCAAATGACAGCTTCAGTTAGCAAACTAAAGGGCCTGCTTTTCTCAGCTCCTTGTCACATCACAAGTCTCAGAAAGAAAACTAATTGCTTATTACTTATGCAGAATGAGAACAGGGGCATTATATTTTCTTATTACTGTACAACTCTATTTTACTATTTGCTAATGCTTTGAGAGCTATTGATCTCAACTTTCAAATTGCACATTTTTCAACCCATAAAGCAGCTGTTTGTGACTTTGAAGTACATTTTTTCTTTGCTTGATTTTTCTAAAATCATATTGCACTTGATATTATTGTCTACATGCAACACCATCGTGTTTTAAAGAAATTTTCAAAATGCCAACAGCCTTCATCTTCGTTCAATGAAATCTTGAGGTAACGTCTCCATCTTCTTTCAATCTTTACCAGTCCCATGATCCTTAAAGACACAAAAAGTAGGAAAAGTTGTCTGTTAAATCACTTTAAAAATTACTGGAAAATTGGACCTAAGAAAAGTATTACAAAGTTGAAAATAAATATCATAATTCACAAGTTAAGGGCAGTGGAAACTCTTGCCCTACCAAATATTAAGAAGTTAGATGGTCACCATATCACACAAATACACCAATGGAATAGAATAGAAAGTCCATTAAGAGATATATATATATAGAGAGAGAGAGAGAGAGATAAACTTAGTGAATGAGAAAGCAGTCATTTCAATAGATTTTTTTAAACAGAATGTCTTATAACAATCTAATCACTTGGAAAACAAAATATTTAAATCCTACATCAGTTAAGAATACTCTGGCTACAAGCAACAAAACAACAAAAACTAACAGAGGCTTGAAACATAATGATGTTGAGTTTTACATACAGATAGATAGATATAAACTTAGTGTATGAGAAAGCAGTCATTTCAATAGATTTTTTTAAACAGAATGTCTTATAACAATCTAATCACTTGGAAAACAAAATATTTAAATCCTACATCAGTTAAGAATACTCTGGCTACAAGCAACAAAACAACAAAAACTAACAGAGGCTTGAAACATAATGATGTTGAGTTTTACATAACATGAAGCCCAAAGGGAAGCCATCTCAGGATTGGTTCAGTACTTTAAGGATCTTTTTAAGTACCTAGACTCTTTTTATCTTCCCACTTTGCTGCCCCCAGTAGCTTGGCTTTTTGTCCTTGGGCATGTTGCTTCATGATCCAAGATATTATAACCTAAGACATCAAGTGTTCACATACCAAAGGCAAGAGGTAAATGCAGGCCAGGCCACTGAGACAGAGAGAGAGACAGCTCTCCTTTCGTGTTTCTCTCCTTTTATTAGGAAGCTAAATTGTCTTTCCACAAACCTCCCAGAAAAATTTCTCTTCTGTCTCATTGGCTAGGCTAGGTCTAGAACCATTACTTGTTTCAGAGGATGAAGGTTAAGCTGGTATCTTACTTTTTCAATCTCTGTAGCTAGTAGGTAGAAAATGGAAAAGGGGGTTGAAATGGATATTGTATAGCCAAACAGACCCTCCATAATCATATCAAATGCATGCTTCTTACCATCATGAGAGTAAATGCTACTAAACTAGCCCTCCCCCAATATATAACTAAAAAACTAGAGAAAATATGTGAAGTGATTATCTTCAGCTGTTGGTCAACAGAATAAACAAGATTGAGCTTGCAGAGAAAGGTGAAGAAATGAGGTGAACCAGACTACCATCTCAGCTTTTTTTCTTGGAGAAACGTTCAGAGTGCAGAGGAATTATAGTGGTTTTGCTGAGCTGAGGAAACAGAGATCAAAGTACACAGTTACTGAAGTGGCTGGAATTTATGTGGCAAAGTACCAGAAAAAAAGGGAGATGTACAGAGAAAGAGCTCCAGAAATCTACATAGGAATCCCCTTGTACCTTTAGCCAAATGCTCAACTATGTGTGGGCTAAATGAGACTCCATGATGATGAGCCAAAAAGAACTATCAGGGAAGGAACGGCTACCAGGATGCTGAGACTAAACCATCAAAGCCTGCACGGGTCTAGGAGACATTTGAGTTCTAGCCAGCCATGGTGAAAAGATCTTGTTGAACACCCTGGATATCTGGTAGGAACACCTAGTGATGCCAGGCTCCAAATATGGCTAATGTAGCCCTAGAGTTACAACCACTGTAGACCTGCCTTACCAAAGCTGAACAACAAACCTGGAAGGAATCATGCTGATTTTCAAGTAGACTAACTTCTTGCTGAACAAAACTTACAATTAAGAAAAAAAAAAAAAATCCAGGCAATCGATTATGTAGCATCCATCACATTCATATACAAGCAAAAATTACTAAGACATACAAGGAAGAAAACTGTGACCCATAATGAAGAGAAATCCAGTCAGTAGAAACAAAATTGAATTTATATGATCAAAATATTTAAAACCAAAATGGAAAATATAAATGCTGTAGAAGAAAATGCAGGTGAAAATTTCCAAGCTTTACATTGAAAGTAAAAGTATAAATAAAATGATTGCTTGATTTAATTACTGTGGATTTAAAACACCTGTGAATCAAAAACAAAAGACTTCATGAACTGAGTTAAAATAAGAAGTAAACTGGGAGTGTGGGGGTGGGGAGAGGATGAAGCTTCTATGGAAAATGGCTAAAATTATCAACTTACAAGGCTGTTGAGATTAATAAGAAAAAATGATTCAAATATTTTAAAAAGCAATGCTTATAAAAAATACTGATGGTCAAGTCAGACAGAGAAAGATAAATACCACATGATTTCACTTATATGAGGAATCTAAAGAACAAAAAGAACAAACTAATCAAAAACAGACTCACAAATGTAGTGAACAATTTGGTGACGGATAGGGGATGGGGGCTTGGGAAGCTGGGAGAATGGGGTTAAGGGTTAAAGAAGTACAAATTAGTAGTTGATAGTTGGGCACGAGGATGGGGAGCAGGGCAGAGGGGATGCAGTTAGCATTAATATGATGGATAGGTAGAGGGCCAGGGAAGGGAGGGAGCAATTGGGGGACTGTTTTATGAACTATATAGATGTCTAACCAATGTACTGTATACTTGAAACTAATTTAAATTAATTAATTAATTTTTAAAAATGGTCAATAAACATAAAAACATTTAGTTTTATTCATAATAAAATAAATGCATTTAAGTACTAAAAACTTATTTCACATAATAGATTAATGAAGATTAAATAAAATAATATCCTGCTAACAAGGGTAAGGACGACTTTTATAAACCACTGATGGGGAAGAGGGTATGGATCTGTTATGGAAGGGTAATTTGACAGCATTTGACAAACAGCTGAAAATCTGTTTATAATGTCCAACCCTGTAATTCTACTTCTAAGAATATAGCCTAAGAAAATAGGCTATATAACTAGGTAAATGCCCAGAAAATTTATAGGATAATGTGCATCATAGAGTGGTTTATAGCAAATAGTGGATTCTAAGGAATGTGGCAGCAGGCATTTGAACACTCACTGACCCTACTACCCTGGCACTGTATATATGAGCTAAAAAGACAAAAAGTCTGCAGGTGAAAACTAAATGACCCATCCCAGTTAACTCTGTCATACTTAAGAGCCCAAGAAACCCTTCCTGAGTCCATGCCTAACTGAACATAACATAGAAGAAGGAGCTGTTGAAAGAACCTGCAGCTTGTATGCAGAACTATGAAGGTGAGAGTGCCAGACAGAGAGATCTGCTTCAGAGTAGGTGGGCTCCTAGATTCATTTGTGTCACGTGAAAGATAATCATGGATCCTTTCAGAAATACTCATATGAGAGGACCATTTAGCAAGAGAATGAAGAAGGAAGCAAGAGCAACTACAAACAACAGGGGATTTGAGTTTTCTAGTTAACATACCCACCAAGAAGTGAGATGTGGGACAAAAACACACCTTCTCAATTACCTTCTCTTTGAGTAATGGCTTAGTCCTATTTTCTTAAAAAAAAAATCCGCTTCTGGTCTAGAGTCCAAAGCCACTGAAGAATTAAATTTCTTACTTGGTTTCTAAATTCCTCCCCCATATTTCTTTGTCTTCTCTCTCTGTAGGACATTCAGTTATCGTTTTACTGATCACACATTTTTAAAAAATAGATTTCCACTTCATTTTTTCATAAAGTCAGTTTATTATCACCATTTTTTATTAACAGACTTCCACTCGATATAATTTTTAGAGATAGTAGGAACGTGGGTATATTTTTTTTCTTTTTAGTTTAAAAAAAAAGCACTGTTTTGAAATTTAATAGTAACAAGGTAAAAAGATGTACAGGGAAGCAGAAGTGAAAATCATTCAAATGCAATCTGGACATACTAGTAGTTAAAAGCTCTTGTTGTATTCTTACTTCGTATTAAAGTTGTCCTTGATATAGTCCTCAACTCAACCAAACTACATTATAAATACGTATCTAGGGAAAAAAATCTCTAAATTGAACGTTCTGAGAGCAGAGACATTTTCCCTGGCATTCATTCTTTTATTCAACAAAACCAATTACTGAGTGCTTAAAAGTGCCAGGCACTGGGTCTTGCACTGAGTTTATAACTGAACAAACGAGATACAATTTGTTCTGAAAGAATTTTAAATAAAGGGATTTTTAGTCCCTTTGCATCCAGGGTTCCCACAAAAGCCAGAAATAAAGGGAACACCCAGTAAATGTTGCCTTAGCTGTTGCTAACAGGCTCGGGCACCAGGCCCTTTATTCTAGTCTCCCCGAACCCCTGAGGCATTATATATTCAACCATCCTGCTTCCATTCAGTGTTTCTATCTCAGCTATGCTTTTGCAGATACCCTGTTCCACAAGGCAGAAAACACAAAACATATTAACAGCTCTGAAAATCGGGGGTTGTGGAGGAGGGGAACAAATGGAGTGATCCTAGATGGGTCTGTAAATCACTGTCTTTTATTCAGAAAGTGAATTATTATTGTCATTGCTTTGTTTATGACCACTGTAGGAGGTTAATACATAGACATCTTTGATGAAAGAGTTAACGAAAGGGTATGTGCTCTTTAAAAATTAATATGAAACAAGAAGATAGAAATTAATATGGCTGGTTCTTCAAGGAAAAAAATTTGTATGTGAGCGCGCATGAGCGAGAAAGAGACAGAGAACAGGAGAAGAACTTCAATGATTTTGCTACTGCTCAAATATTTTTGGAATTCCTCTTGCTAACAATATTTACTAAAAATAACCTAAGTATAGGCTTAACTAAAATTTTTAGATATAGCTAAGATAAAAAGAATTTCTTTTGGTCAATGACAAGATAAAATTCTACTCATAATTTCTCAAAATTGGGATCCCTTTTATACTAGTCTCAAAAATAAATCAATAAAAGAGTTCTATGGCCAAAGAAGCTGAGAAACTATTCATTCTATTTTCCCCCTCAGAGGTTTACAGAGCATATTTTCCTCATATTATTGGCTCTTGTGGCA